CGAGGTCTTCGGGCCTGTTTTGGAATGGAAATTTGGGAAAGGCATGGAACAGCATGATTTGTTGAAGACAGAATTCATTTACTGGTAAGAAAATATAATTTTAATGGAATAATTTTAATGGGTAGCTGAACCATTTGCATGAAGGGCAAAGATAAATGAAGAGGAAGAAAATTAAGAGAAAGGTAAATAAATCTTAAAATAAATCAGGTGAAATCAGTGAAGTACCCATACGTACCCACAGCCATCCCACAGGATGAGGAGGGAACAGGGGGAAACTGCTCTGGTGTGAAGCTGGGGCAGCTGCAGGCAGCCAGACGAGACAAGGGCATGGAAATGCCAACACAAAACTGAAATACCCCCGTGGCAGGGAGGGCACGGCTAACAGAGGGGTTCCACGTTTGAGTGGGGCTGGACATGTTCAGCTGTTTGGGAAGGAACAGTCCCTTGACATCCTGCAAGGAAACTGAGACACAGCCACTGCCACAGGGGAAAAGGCACTTTCTGAGGGGCTGGGAGCAGATTAATCCCTGGCTGAATTCTGGGAATGGGAGAGGGCTTGGAGTGGGTGGGAATGGGGCAGCAAGTCAGCCTGCTGCCTCTGGGACTGCACAGGTGACCCTTGTTGGTGCCACCTGAGGACACACTGACCCCAAACATCACAGAGCATGGAATGGCTTGGGTTGGACAGACCTTAAAGCTCACCCAGTGCCACCCTGCCCTGGCAGGGACACCTCCCACTGCCCCAGTGTCCAACCTGGCCTTGGGCACTGCCAGGGATCCAGGGGCAGCCACAGCTGCTCTGGGCACCCTGCCCACCCTCCCAGGGAACAATTCTTCTAATACCTGATCTCTGTGTACCTTCCCTCAGCCTAAAGCCATTCCCCCTTTTTCTGCCACCACATCTCCACATGCCTCCTCTGTCTTTGAAGGCTAAGCATCACTCATTTATTCACTGATTTTGATTCTCATTTGGTCTGCCTGCTTCCTCTCAAGGTTTTAAATTGCATATATTTTGCAAGCCTTTTATTACCTATTTTTAAAGATATACCACTGCCGGAAGAATCTCCTGGAAGCATGAATTAACAACACAAAAGGCAGAAGGAGTGTTTCATAATGCTCCTGGGGCGGCTCCAACACGAGTTGCTCGGTGCGGTGGTGCAGCGCCAGAAACGCTGGGGCCACACTTTTGCTGCCACTAAAAATAGTTGCAACTTCAAACCCAAATATATTTTTGTTCATTAAAAATTATGGACAAATAAAAGGATTTTTTACTCTTTAATTAAAGCAGCTACATAACCTCAGTGTAAATAAAAGGTAGCAGTGTCCCTGCAGATGTTGCAGTCAGGTTTCAGTAGTGTTTACAAAAAAATTGAACTTAACAATATTAAAATCACAGCACACCAGAAAAATAAGCATTTTCACATCTGCCCTTGGAACGCACAGTAATTCACAGCCACATGCCAAGCAACAAGTCCTGTGCCTTCAGGGTATTTGAAATTGCTGTGCCCGTGCAGTCGGGCTCCAGACACCCCCAGGAGTGCCCCATGTCCTTCCTGACCCAGAAGAGGAGGAGAGCAAGGCCAGGGAAGGTTCCTGTGCCCCTCCTGGGGCTCACAGAGCCCGGTGCCAGGGTTTGGCTGTGGGGCCTCACTGTGGAGCCCAAGCCCAGCGTGTCCCTGGGGGCGCAGAGCAGAGGATGCTCGGCAGCCCTGGCACAGCCACCAGAGCAGCCCTGCAGCCCCCAGCCCCTGGGACGGGGCTCACCAGCACAGCCAGGCCACCCCGCTGCCACAGCAGGGCCAGCTGCTGCTCCCACCCTGCTCAGGAGCTCATCAGGTCCGTGCTATATGAACTGGAAAATAAAACATCCATGTATGCAAATGTACAAACTGACAGCAGCTCACGTGTGGCTTTCATGCTGACTTCAAGTTGTGTTAAAGACATGTAAGAGTTACTGGGCATAAATAGGAAAAAGCATTAACCCACAAGCTGCAGGAAGCAAACACAGCTCATGAATGAGAATTGGTGTTGGCATGGATCTGGCCAACGTTAAGCTCTAAATAACTGTTTACCTCAAACTTTGTGGTGTCTTCAGAGAATGATTTGTAGTCAGAAGATTCCCAAACATACCCAGGGGGAAAACAGGTTACAAGCATGACCACAAAATCAGAACAGGTTTAATCTCATTTGCTAGTCAAAGATTGCACAGCATGAGGGAAGGTGGAACTTCTGCGTGGTCACAGTAGAGAGATAATGAGCTGGATCTTGTCCCTAGCAATCACAACCCATAGTTGTCACTGATTATTAATTACCAGCCCAAAGGCCGGAGCTGCAGTTGCATTCTCCTCACATATTGGATGGATTAGAAACTCCAGGTGAGTGGCTCAGGCAAAGGCCTCTTCAACTACACCCACCCCTGAGGCTGATGGATAATCACAGGGATCACCTGGGCCCTGGTGCTGGTGGGCCGATTGCCTCCCATGAATACATCACAGAAAGGATCGGCTCAGGGCAGGTTCTGGCAGCTCCTGGCTCTGCTGGGTGCCCAGTCCCTGGCTGAGCAGCGTTCTCTCAGGTGGGACAGCCAGCGCACGGCTCTGGTGTGCTCCCGGTGAGGAGCTGGGGGGCACAGGAGCCTGGTGGGGCTTTGCAACGGCTCCAAGTGCCCAGCGCCAGACACAGCACGGCTGGCAAACCCAGCAGGGGCTCTGCACGAGCCTGCGGGGCTCAGCCGCAGCCCCAGCGGGACGCGGTGCTGCCTGTGGCAGCTGGGAGGGTCACCTCCGCTGGCACGGAGTGTCCCCGGTCCTGGAGGGAGGTGTCACCTCTGCTGGCACGGAGTGTCACCTCTGCTGGCACGGAGTGTCCCCGGGCCTGGAGGGAGGTGTCCCGCTCCCCCGGCACGGAGTGTCACCTGGCCTGGAGGGAGGTGTCACCTCTCCCGGCACGGAGTGTCACCGGTCCTGGAGGGAGGTGTCACCTCTCCCGGCACGGAGTGTCCCCGGGCCTGGAGGGAGGTGTCACCTCCGCGGGCACGGAGTGTCACCTGGCCTGGAGGGAGGTGTCACCTCCGCCGGCACGGAGTGTCACCGGGCTTCCCTCCGCGGGCACGGAGTGTCACCGGGGGTCCCTCCGCCGGCTCGGAGCCGCGGGTGCGGGCAGCCGCGGTTCGTGTCCCGCTCCGCGGGCGGCGGTGGCACGGCTGCCCGGCAGGGACAGGGACAGGGACACTGGTGCCGAGCGCCCCTGCCTGCGGCTCTCCGCGGGAGCCCTGCCCGCAGCCGCTCTGCCCGCGGCCGTGCGGGGCTCGGGGCCACCGCAGGTCCCGGCGGGGCACGGCGCTGTCCCGCTGTCCCCTCCGCGGCCACACGGACACCGCCCCGGGCTCTGCGCGCTGCCCGGCACCTCCGGCCAGACAGGAATTCGTGGCACATTGTATTTCCTAACTGAACGAGAGAAACTGACCACGAAGTGTTCGGGAAAGAACAGGGTTTTCAACACAGAGCAGCGGATTCAAAGAATATCCTATTTTTATGCTCCCTCTCCGTGTAATTAATCTGCCGTTCCAAACAAGACGTGCCTCAGCTGAATGAAGCCTCAAATAATCACATAATAGGAGAAGTCATTTATTGTGAATCAGGCTCTTTCTGTGGTATATAAATAGTCTGTGCTGTTCCACAGGCTTTGTCAGTCAGGATTAATTAGCAATTGACCCTTGCTTGAGATTTCTTCACTACCTCTACATTTTTCATAGGGCTAAATGAGCTCTCCACATTGCTTTAAGAGGCTTCCTAAGCTGGAGTTTCATTTACCTCTAGGCTATAAATCAGTAGTTTAATTTATCACTAGGTTACATATCAGCAGTGAATAGTCAGGGTGGAATTGAGTTTATTATAAAGGTGTTCTGTTAGAAGACACAGTATTACAGTGATTGAAACATGCTCTTCAATTTTCCATTAATGCCCAATTCTGAATATGACCACAGAGAACCACGCTTTACAAACTTTACATTTAGCATTCTAATAAATAAGTTCAATAAATAGGGACTCTGCAGAGGAAGCCGTACATATGAACAGAAGCTGCTTAACAATGTTGTCAAAAAATAACTAGAGCTACTCTCATTTGTAACCAATCACTGGAATTGGTAAGTAAAATATAAATATTTTACTCTTATGATGCAGACCAGAGGAACAAAGATCTGTTAAAAATCACCCTTAGGATTACATCAAACTTAATTTTGTACACTAAATTCATTATTCAGAGCATGCTTTTATACCGCTTTTAGCACAAAATATTTTCAGATACATTTATTAAAAATATGAGAAACGAGTGACACTGCCCATGTAGAATTTCATCTGTGCCTGAGCACTAGCTCTTGTGTTACACAATGTTGCAGTTTGGCTAATTTTGGATGAACTATCCCACATTTGGAGAAGATCTATAGTAAAGGGCCAGATTTAGTCTGTAGTATATTGCAACATCTTGTTAATACATTAATTCATTTGTCATAGTACAAAAAATTTAATTCCCCCCAATTACTGTTATATGTATAATATATATATATAAAATCCATGTATATGATCCATTTTAATAGCCACCGTTCTTGGCACACGTGTTGTGTGCAAAGCCTGCAGGAGCAGAACCTTTCTGGCAGCCAAGGCAGGTCCGTGGAGCGCGTGTTCCCTGCCGGCCTCGAGGCCCAGCTGCTCCCAGCGCGCCCACCCCGGCGTGGCCCCGCACAGCCCCGCGCCCGGCAGCGCCCGCGCGCCCGGCAGCGCCCGGGGACAGCTCCCGTGCCCCGGGGAGCCCCGGCTGCCAACGGGGCCAGCTCTGCCACGAACAACCATCGCATTCCCAAAGCACAACCATGCACACACCAGTAAAGCCTACCTTGAGTAAAACACCGGCACTGAAAGAGGACTGAACCATAAATGCCACCAAACTATCAAGTAATTATCAGCACTAGAAGTAGATGAAAAAAATACTAAAACGGAAAATGGTAACTGCATCATGGCTTTGATTTAAATCCTTGCGTACAACAGCGAGTGAGCAGAAAGCCTGGTCTGTGACTGAGCCTCAGAAGACAAGATACTGCTCTTATTTTTATTTCCTATTTTTAAGACAGGCTGACTGAGAACATTTTCAAACGTGGGAGACTAAGTCATTAAACCAGATGCACTTGGATTGCTCTCCTCCTTTAGGGGATTTACTTCATTTTACTTTATCTGACAGAAGTCAGAAATAAATGAAACTACTGGAGGAAAGCTGAATTTTGACGCATTATTTTCCATTAGAATTCTTCCACTGACTTTGTTAAGCTTTTCCTAAGACCAGAAAATGAGGCTTTATCTAAAAAAGAATTTGAGACTGGCAGATTTTCCCCACACACTTGTAAGCCCTACAGTCTCCTACTGCCTCAAAGCGGAGGATTTTTTCGAACCGTTCCCAAATCTTCTGCATTTGTTCACAAACTGGTATCTCCGTTCTGTTTATACTCTGATAAAATATTGAGAGTCATGTCCTCACTTTTGGACTGCACATTGTGTTCGCTCCTTCTGGATGATTTCCTGGTGGCCCTGGAAAGCTTCCTTCGGAAGGTGTCACCTGCCAGGAAGTAAAGGATGGGGTCAACGCAGCTGTTGAGGCTGGCCAGGCCCCTCGTCACTTGGTAAGTGGCATAAACCTTATCGTTGAAGGCACACATATCTGGGGTTTGAAAATCCACCCTGGCCCTTAGATTTAAGGTCTTCATCACGTGGAAGGGAAGGTAAGACACTGCAAAGACCGTCAACACAATAATGACCAGGTAAATGGATTTTCTCCTGAGAGGAGAATTGTCCAAATCCTTGTAAATCAAAGCTTTCACGATGAGCCCATAGCAACCAAGAATCACTATGAAGGGGATGCAGAACATCAGCACGGTGGTGCACATGCTATAAATGAAGTAACTTCTCAGGTAATCGTCGGCCGTCGTGTCGTAGCACGTCGTGGTTTTATTTTTCCTTATCCCTGTTCCCGAGTAGAAGAGTATCGGAGAAATCGCGGCCACCACGAGGACCCAGACCAGGCTGCTGATGTACACCGCGTTCTTCTTCTTCAGCCTCCCCAGCGACTTCAGGGGGTGCACCACCCCCGTGTACCTGTGCACGCTGATGCAGGTCAGGAACAGGATGCTGCCGTACAGGTTCACGTGGAAGATGAACCTCTGCAGCTTGCACATGATGTCTCCGAAGATCCAGTCTGTTTTGTTGAAGTAGTAAAAGATGAGGGCGGGCAGAGTCAAGACATACAGGAAATCGGCTAGTGCCAAGTTGAACATGTAAACCGAGATGCCGCTCCAAGGCCTCATGTGGAAGACAAACATCCAGATAGCCACACTGTTGCCCAAAAACCCAGTGATGAAGACCAGAATGTAGACTGTGGGCAGGTAATAGAACTGGAAGCCGGTTTTGGTCAGGGAGCACTTGGTGGTGACGTTTCCCGCAGACCAGCCGCTGCTGGATAACAGGTTGGGCTCAGTTCCGTTCAGAGCAGCAGAGAGAAGGACTTCGGTCATGATCCTTCCCCCAGAGTCACATAGGGCTGAGGCGAAGCAACGAAGTCTCTACAGGCACAGAAACGCATCTAAAAACATAAGAGAGCAAAGCAAGCCTAGCTGGAAGGTGAGCCCTGCCCTGCTTTTCCTCGGAGGTTTCCAAGCGGCGGTACCGGGCCCCGCTCCGCTCCCCGCCCCGCTCCCGGGGAGCCGCGCACGCCGCCGCCACCGCGTGCTGGCCCGGCCGGAGCGGGGACAGCGACAGGGACAGGG